AAACATAGGTTAATTGACCACTCCCCATGGGGGTTTTCAGGGCCAATTCCCACCCATCCCACCCAGGGGAGGACATCCACCACACAGTAATCTCGTGTGTGGGAAATTAATGTCTCCTACCCCAAACCCTGCAGGAGACGGGGCCTACGGTTTATTCGACCTTATCCGAGAAGACTAGAATATCTATCCATTTCTTGATTGTAGAAAGGTAGCAAATTCTCCTCACTTATTTTAAGACTATGAGTAGTGGTCCAGGCGGGGCTTGAACCCTTGACCTCCCGCACAACACAGTCTGGCGCTTCAACCAATTGAGCTAACCGGGAGTGTTAGCTCAAATGGTGTATATGACTATTGAAGTTGGGAACAAGTTCAATTTCTGTATATGACATGAAATTGTTATGAATTGAAACATACTTATGGAAATAATTATGATAAATTTTTAGGGAATCCTTTTATCTTATGGTGATTTCTTTCTTACTCATTTCATAGTAAAGGTTATTTTTTATTAGAAAATCATCAAATATTTAAGTAGCATAGCACCATGAGGTAAACTAGCAGATATTTTCCATTTTCTTACTAGACATTTGATGAATGTGTCCAGAATGGAAATCCAGATTGTAGGGCTGAGAAGCTGTGGTTGCAAATTCCATACTTTTGTGGTCATGCACCACAGTGCTGGTGAGTTCCCCTTCTGTTTGTCCCTGTTTTTTCTTTTTTGTCATCAGAAGCCATGTTTTGTTAGTCAAAATAATTGACATTAGGTTGTATTGCTGTATAGTACTGAAAGATGATGTATGTAGTGAATAACACAGGAATATTTGGAGAAAAAGAACTTGGAGTGCTCAGTCAATAGGAGTCAAACCTACCACCTTCCAATCAGTACTGCTGAGGTATGGGAGACCCATGGCAGGCTAGGCCCTCTAACTAGGTCCAGAGATAGGAATGTTGAAAGTGATCCTTTTGCACAACGATGAATGAAGATGGTTTGATGAAAATTTGGCAGCCTGAACTATTTGTTCTTGAGATGTGGAGAACATTTTTTCATGAAGTTAAAAGAATGATTCAGTGGTGTGTATTGTAAAGAGAATTTAGATGCTTGTTACTGTTAAAAGGGTTGACTACCTGACAACTGCTTCAAACACAAAACTGCCTCCTGGTTAGCTCAATTGGTAGAGCACCGGACTGTTGTGTGGAAGGTCAAGGGTTCAGGCCCTCAGCCAGACCAACACTCAGGGTCTTAAAATAACTGAGGAGAATGTGCTACCTTTCTATAATATCAAGAAATGGATAGATATTATAGTCTTCTTGGATGAGGAGAAATAAATCGTAGGCCCCGTTTCCTGCAAGGTTAGGGGTAGGAGATGTTAATTTCCCACATGAGATTACTGTGTGGTGGAAATCCTCCCCTGGGATGGGATGGGTGAGTAAATATGCCGAGATGGGCTGTATTGCCCTTTGCAGATTAAAACATAGATAGATAAATCTTAGATAGATAGTTGAAAAAATGTTTGTTAATATCATTTAAGGTCACCAGGAAATAAATGGGCTTTGGAGCAGGCGAAAAGAAATTTAGTAGAAAAATACTTACTAGTAGGAATCACTGAAGAAATGGGAGACTTTGTAGCAATTTTGGAAGCAATACTGCCAAGAATATTTAAAGGAGCAACAAAAGTGTTCAATGAAGGTAAGATGGTTTGCAAAGTATACATCTACCTTTTAATGATATGTGGAGCATCCTCTCTGTTGAATATTCATTGCTGTTCCTTTGCAAAGCTTTTTAAGTGATGCCATTTTGGTTTAAAGTTGTTTAAAAAAACAGTAGTGTATATGTATCTGGAATAAACTTGTTGATGCTGAGGCCAAAAACTTTAAAATTATCTTATACAATAACTTTTTTAACTTTTGTTTCTAAAAGCAAAAAAGCCTTTCAAGCAAAATGATTAAATGAAAGATTTTTGAACCAAGAAATGTTTTTTTTTTTAAGTGTTGGAAACAACATGTTTATAGAAGAGTATACATTCCACTTCTCCATCTTTGAATTTTTGTTGTTTTGAATTTTCCCTTACTTTTTTTCCCCTTTTTTTTAGGTGGTAAATCCCATCTCAGGAAGACAGCATCTAAGAAACCATTGGAAAAATCAACAATTGAATACTTTGAACAATCAAAAATATGGAAAATGGAAAATGATTTTTACGAATTTGCTAATAAGGTTTTTCAAGATGCTAAGAAGAGGGCGCTGATAATGAGGGACGGTGTTCTAGAACCTGTGAAAAAACAGTTCTTTTACGAGAAAATAAGGCCGAAAGAAGCCAGCTAAGTAATTGAATTACTCAGATTTTTAATATATACTCTTAACTGAATGTTAATCTTTAGTAAGCCAGGAGTTGACATGGACTTCCGTTAGGGTGAAAACTCCATGGTAGCCGCCTTTGACACTACTGACTTAATACGAAGACTCTAAATAACCACGAAATGAAGGCAGTTAGAATGTCGCTTTGACTCTGCAATTCGCACAATACTGACGTGAAATCTTCAAACTTAGGCAGACTTTTTCGGGGTGCAATGCTTCGGAGCAGCATTCAAGTCCAGAGAGAGGAAGAAAAAAATTGGGATCGACATGAGTATCTCAACTACTGCGCACCTACTCCTCCTCCCCAAAGCCAACAATAGTCAAGGGCTAGAGGGAGGGGTAGGTGTGCAGTTGTTCAGTTAATGAGATTGTCGTTGAGAGTGAACTCACTTTTCAAAATGTAGCATTGAAAAAAGTTCCTTCCGTAGTCGTGCAGTTGCGATGGAAAAATTAAGGGTTAAAAATTAAATATTATCATAGCGCTTTCACGATTCGGCCGCCTTTGCATTGAGGATTCGTCTAATTTTCTCGAGGTAAATACCGCCATGAAAGAAAAAAGCGTTACCAAATTCCTACAAGGGTCTAGTCAGAGTTCAGCTGTATGACTGCCCATTAAATCTGAATAAGGTATAAGAAGAAAATTAAATCGTTGTTGCTAAAGCAACTCCTAACACTCCACCAATAGAGCGAGTGTCGAAAAACTTACGCACTAGTAATCACATGCGACCAGTCAGAGCAAAGGTACACAACAGGAAGAGCCAATCAGAGCTTAGAGTAGACATATGTTGAAGTCTTCTCCTGTCATTGGTTGAGAAGCAGGTGGGAGTTTTCTTGACCAATCAGAGAGTGTTGTTAAACTAAACTAATGCACTGTCGACTACTTCAAGTGTTAATTGATGATTGCGGCTATGTGTGGGTTAAAGGAACTTTCAGATGTATATGGAAAGTAATCAGCCATGACAATGAAGCGTTCTCTTTGCTTCATTCAGATCTGTGATTGTTCTAGAAAACTCGCGCCATCCACGGAGCCAATCAGACGCAAATCGGGAACCAATCGTGATTTGGTCATCAGCGTTTTCTTGCGCGTTTGGTAAAGTTTGCTTTTGTTTAACTTTGAGTTCTGATTGGCTAATGATGATTTTTATCTCTGTTGTGATTGGGTTTTTGGATCACATTGGCTATGGTTTATCGACGACAATCAATTGAAAACTCTTCTGCCTGGTGGAATATTTCATGGATAAATAGAAAAAATATGGGTTTATTTATTTAATCTTGAATGAAGTCTGTTAATGAATTAATTCTTACAAGCAAGTAATTTTTCTGTGAATGATTATATCAATTTTTTCCAATTTATACTTGTTTTTAGTATTTATACGTAATGTAAAATAGCTGTACTTGTTTCTCATCATGGTGCTAACGACAGTTCATCATGTTTTTAATTACCGCGGAAATAAACCTGTCTCAGTGCTACTCTCATATTTTTTTGAAGAATATCAAGAAAAGATGAAACGAAAAATGATATTAGGGCTAAATATATGAGAATGCCAGATAAAACAATATGAGCTCGCATTTGCAGAGACACCCGGTGAAATGTTGGTTATAATGAGGGAATAGGATATTGACATGTGTGTTGCCAAGTAATCACTCAAGTATTCATCTTTTTAAACGATAATGTTTTCCTTGGAATAACAATTTTTTTTTTTTCGGCGTAGTGCGGAGCTCACCATATTTGGAAAAGAAAAATTTTGTATCGTATGAAGACTTCTTTTACCGCGGAAACTGACCTTCTTTCTTAATTACCGTTCTTGTTTTTTTTATTTGGGCGCTGTGCCGCTATAATCTTGGATGCTCTCAATAATCTAAGAATAAATAATTTTCGTGCAGGTAGTTTAACATCGGTGTAAATTTTTGTTCTTTCCTAACGATCTATGCATTTCATCGTTGTTGAGCTACTGAATTGTTTGAACATTGTCTTTGGTCTTTGTCTCTACTAGCACTCAGACATTTAACTTGAACGCTACTGTCCGTTGTTGCCTGAATACTTGGCAAACTTTGCGTTAATATCCTCTCTCCACTGCGTTTCGTAGCTAATGATATTACGACTCAACACCGGAGACGTCCTGAATTGTTTGGAAACTTTGAAACCACTCAGTCACATAATTTACAAGATGACTGAACGTATTCAATATCCTTGGTGCAAACGTGTTCATTTGTGCGATCAAGCGTGACTATTGCCAAGTACTAGATTCATAGCCGGGAGGACCACGGCACCATTGCACACGTTGCATAGTTCCATTCTTCTTCTATTCTGGGTCCTCTTCCCTGGACGGTCTACAGTGGACGTGCATACATCAGGACACAAAGTGTGCATACATCAGGACACAAAGTAAAAGCAGTCTTTCTATTCTGTCAATTCTTCGACTGTCACATCTCCGCCGACCTAATCATCGAAAAATGGTGAAAAAGTATGAGCTTTTTAACGTCGACCAAAGGATAGACCTGTCTCGTAACGGTGGCCAATTTACCATTTCAACTTTCTTGATATATTCAAATTATTACGTTACCCCCACCGACGGAGCCCCAAACAGTTTCTTTAGAAACTATCAGCCTTTATTCATTTATAAATTCCTCATGCTTAAGGCATGCAAACACAGACATGCTCTTGACAAAACTTGCCTGGTTGTGATGGCTGAATATATATGTGATAATCTTTTTTTTCTTTTTGGATTTTTATGAAATGCAAAACAAAAACAGACCATTATACAGCCATCTTAACCGAACGAACTTGGTCAATAAACAAATGCATATGATCTCCTATCAGTAGGGGGATCTACTAAATGGCAAAAAATTACTCCATAGAATTTCCAACTAAATCAAGGCACTATGTTTATTGATTTTTTTTCCTCCATGATGATATCTTATCTCGATTTCGCTCTTTTGCTCCCTGATGATATCTCACCTCAGAGGGCTTGTACTTGAAATACGAAAGCCTTATTTCCTTGTCTGGACAACCAACTCTTCTCAATCTAAACAAATTAAAAGCAAAATGAGCAGCTGAAGCATTTAACGAGTCTTCGTTGGGATGGCATTGTTTTGTCTTCTTCACAGCCGTTCTTTGGGATGACCAGGAAGGCTCTCCTTGGGGAGATGGGGAGGGGGGGGGTTGGCAGGGGGTAAGGCTTTGTGTGACATTTTAAAGAACAGCTTTAAAGGAGACTGGGTATTGTCTGGCCATTTAAGCTGTTTCACGATAATAAAAATAAACAGGTTTTGTAAATATTTTATCCTGCGAATAGGCAACGTTAGTTTGATGCCTTTCTTCAGTGTTACTCTTCAATTCCGGGGTGTTTATTTATTTATTTATTGAAGATTAACGAAATTGGTGTCACGCAAGGAAAATGACCTCATTCGACTAAGAGTGACTGATCACCTCACCAATTTTTGGGAAGATGTATTGCAATGGTGTGGATAAGTAGCATGCTATTCGGCCAGAAGATTCAAGAAGTCAATGAAACAATCGGAAAAATCTTTCATAGATGCAAATGACTCACTTTTTCCCGGTCCACACTGGTTGATCCACTAAGCCAAATTCAAAGTTCAGCAAAACGTGTGCCACTACAACCTTAAGTATTGTAAGAGTGATCTCCTGCAATTAAGTAAAAAAAAAAGCTTCCTTTCCTTAAATTTATACACAAAAGAAAAAAGATAGAAAAAAAGGAAAAAAAACAACAAACAAGCACATGTCTAAGAAGGGGATGAAAAGTAGAAAAGAAGGAGCAGGGAACGAAGGACCTGATCGCAGGGGAGAGCAAGGGAAGCGAGGGAAAAAAGAGAAAACAAAAGGATTTGAAAAATATTGTAAAAAAAAAAAAAATACTTTTCTGAATTGAATTACTTTGACTTTTCCCTGCTCTGTATCTAGTCGAGATGCTACGTGATTGGTTCTGACGCTTCAACCTCCTTCCAAATCAGTCTGAGGTAAATTTGAAAGCGATAGAGACCTGGTTACCCGGGATAGCACAGATTTCATTGATTTCGTGTGATTTTTTCTTTTATTCTGAACACGGCCCCTTATGACTACTTTGGTTTTGCTTTTACGCTCGATTTAGAATGGTTCAGTCTCATTTTCGTCAAAAGGTGTAGCTAGGACATAGAGTATTACCTGTCCGGGACAGTGATGATTATGAGGCGTTGCCTCCTCATTAAAGGGTCCATATCCAAAGATGATGTGATCAATTAAGGCCTACAATTAAAAAGGAACGTGGAAATTGACTTTAACAAAATAATCTACTCATCCAAATAGTAGAATGTATTTTCTTAAAATAAAATTATGCTATTAAGTTAGTACTACCTTTTGAAGTATTCCGTAAGAATTGAAATTTTTTTACCCCATATATGTGTATAGTTCATGACATATTCCACTTTTGACTCCGCCCAAACAAAATTTGGTTCTCATTATCCCTCCGAATCGGAAGTACGATTACAACTTTACCTTGTTTTCAAATCGAGACGGCGAAAATATGTGTGGCTGATCAAATATTCTTTCGTCCCTGTGCACCATGTGTACATTTCCAACAAGAAGTTCATCTTTTTTAACGATGAATTTGCCGCTGTCAGAGTTAAGGATAAAATCCTCTCTGTTAAGGATATAAGAAAAAGAAAGTAAGAAACAAAACTAAGTCTAATCACTTTTACGCCTTAGACAAAGAGGCTGACGTACTCTCCACTTTGGTTCAAGGGGTTGTTGGATGGTGGCTTGAAGGGTTGCAAGATTCTTAATACATTTTACAGGCAATACTTAACCTGTCATATTACGTGCAAACGAAAAGTTAATATCACTATAGATATTACGTAAGCGTGTGATGGGTTCGTACCTTCATTCAAGATGGTGCTTTAAAAAGAAAATACTTTTCGTTGCTAAAATGACCTTTTATTCTCTCCAATCCCATTTACTGCTTAGCCTCTCTTTGAAACTCTCCGTCCAAACATGTCAATGTGGCAGATTCCTCTTAGATTCTCCTTCCCCCCTATGTATCCCTTATTTAACGAATCTTACCTCAAAAGTTTTTCTCTGGTTGCAATCCCAATTCTAAGTATTTGTAGCTTGGTATCTTTTTTCTCTCATTACTTTTTTTTTTCTGAATAAAAGTTAAATGATCAAGTTCTGTACGAAAGACACCATACTGACCTTGCCCGTCCAAAGAAGACCGGTACTGGTGGGTGCATGCGCAGTAACTCCAGGATGAAGTTGTGCAAGAGCGGCATTTCTGTCAGGGCTTCCTTGGATAGTTCCTGGTTCGACAATACTGTTATCATTTCATTTTTCATTTTCTGTTTGTAATCCTGTTCAAGCATGAATAAACGGGCCATACCGGTCCTCAAAGAACCGGATACACCGCCATACGCATTGAAACTGAAAGGAAAAGACAATGTCGACGTTTTTGTCTTGAAAACGTTTAAGGATGCCAAGGATTTCAAACAATTTTTTAATTACGATTTTGATGGCTAGTTTTTATCACGGTTGCCAGCGGAGTGCTTGCTCATCAACAATAACGACAACAACACCATAATGACTTACCCTCACGCGAGTATACGATGTATGTTATTATTGATTATCTTAAACATTTGTCATAATTAATAATGATCTAGTAATTAAATATGTCATAGCTAGTTAAGGGGCTTACGATCAAAAGAAAAATTTTTGTCAGCGTGGAATTGCGCTGTACAATTCTATAAAAACGAGGGTCTCCATTTTTCTTGATCTATATAAATGTGCATAATTATTGATTAAAAAAGGGGAAATGAAGATCAGAGAAATAAATGACACAGCGGTCAAATAAGGCTGAATTGATTACTTCAAAGGAGTTTATTAGACCCATAAAAGAAAACAGGTTAACAGAGAGACTTACTTGAGCATAAATAAAACGTCCATCAAGGCTTGTTCCTCTGTCACACCTGCCTCGACGGCTGTTTGAAAAATACCTGCAAGAGCTGGACTCTGTCGGAAGGCCTGCTTCAAGCATCTTGCACCATCTAATCCTTTTCTCAGTGTCCTAAGAAAGTTGAGACAAGGCTTTGATGAGGAATGAAGAAATTTTGAATAACCGATGTATGAAAAAAGAAACTACGAGTAAATGATTGACCAGGTAAATACTCTTTAGAAAAGGAAATCAACGAGGAGCAAGGCTGTACCTTTGACTGGTTTACTTCCGTATTACACTATTGATTTTTTGTTTTATGCTAGGCTTCATATCAACACACCGTTTCAATGATTAAGATAACTGTTGATGTTTACATTATCTTCAACCCTTGGCTATTGTGAAGGAGTTTCTGGTGGGATCTCTTTTTCTTTTGAGTGACGACCTCATCAATATACCAAATAATTGACCAGTGGAATAAGATACAATCTAATTCACTTGGCTGATTACACACCCTCGTTTCCCCCAGCTTCCTTTCACGCATTTAAACATGGCTTGATGGTCGACTCGGATTCCGAAGAAAGCTTCGGTGAAGATGTCGCATGTGAGGTCCATAATGCTTTGCTCCCACGTGGATTTCAACCGAGGGTCTGGAGAAATGAAGACATGGAATTGAAGCCGTTGATCTTTTCTAGACAAGTTTGGAAGTTTTACATCCATTTGTGTTTTCTTACTCCGCACCAATCTTCTCTTATCTCCTTCCAGATGAAGGAAGTTTTTCACAAAATATGACTCGATAATATTTGCTGTGCTTTTTTCACCCAAGTAGTTCATGATTTCCATGCACCTTTTAACACAAAACCAATGAGGCAAGTGTCTCCTTTGATCCCTTGATTTCTTTGGGTTAATAACAATCATGATTTGAGGTAACAGGCGTAGAAGAGTGAATCGATTGCCGCGTGTAGTCTTAAAAAATAATTAGCCAAAGAGTCTTTCTAAAAGGACCAAGTGATCTTGGCTGTATCACGATAAAATATATCTTATCTCCCCTGAAGGCTCTGCAATATCCTTATGACCTTCCCTCCCCCCCCTTCCCCCCCCATCATTGGATCATTGGGAGTCAATTTTTCTATAGTCTCCCTAGCTTTTTTGCTCTGTTGGCGGCGAGTGAGCCCCCTTCTGTTTAATCTGAGAACTATGTGATCGCCCAGGCCCCCTTCTCCCTAGGAGATAAGCAATGACTGGTCCCTGATTACCTTGCGAGCAGAGATCCTTCGATATTCCTAGAAATTTCGAGAAGAGGAAGAAACCTCTGGTAGCCGGCTCGACTTTCTCTTCCTCTTCCCGACATTTCTAGGATGATCGAAAGAAGCATTGCTTTGAGGGTAGTCCCTGATGAAGGGGCGAAAACAAATCAGGCTACATCTTTGATGAGTTGAAAAAAAATGGAAAACGTCTCACCTGCGTTTTGCCATATCGTGGAATATTCTCGAACTAGTTTGACACTTGTTTCAAAAATTTTACCCTGCTGAGCTACTTTGCACAGTTGTATGAGAAATGCTTTTTGTTTTTCGTGAGTAATTCCATTTGCGAACATGGAGGGTGTGTATCCGTCCAGCAAACAGATATTATAGGTCAGTCTCCCGAACGCTGGCTCTTTGTAGATCTGTTGATAAAAAAGCGAGAAAAAATGTAGATCCTTGCATGTAACGAACAATAAAAAAAGAGATTTCACGTCTTTAATTGATTCATGACCCAGCGAAAAATTTTCCTCATGGCTTAGCGAGTACAACGGTGATCATGATATAGAATCTTTCCAATGAAATAAATTATATATATAGCTATATGTATAGGTAGTCTACCAGCTTTCTACTGCCTATAACTTAACGATCTATTCCCCTAATAGCCTACACACTGCAGCCACATATGAGAAAGCTTACATTAAAACTCTCTGTGGATGTCAGCTGTTATTCGATTCCTCTACCCTCCCTCACTTGTCTTCTGCCCGATAAAGTTGCACACTATTGGTTGAGAGCTCATTCCAGTTTTGGAGAGAAGAGAGATGGAGGAACCAAGGATCGCTTTACCACTAAAATGTCACGGGTTTGTTCAAGTCAACCAAATGCAGTCTCAATTTTTCCATCTCGTCATCTCCAGACTATTTCAATCCGCGACTGCCCTAAACATACTCGCTTCTTTTAGATTTAATCTTACCTCTTTGGATTATATGCACGGTTGGCAGACGACTGTTTCATGATTTTTATACTTTAAAAGCAACTGGCAAAACATGCATCAGAACGTTCTCAAAAGATGCATTCATTTTTCAGATTTCTCTTATTACATTATCTGTCACCCATTCACTCTCCTAGACACTCTTCCTGACCTCAAAACCTGTCATATTACCGCAATCATATTGAGTATACGGTGCTGATGATAGCAGAGAACACTGACCTTTTCCATGTTAAAAAGGATGTTGATTCCCTTCCTATCGCATATGTGGATACCTCTGACTCCCATGTTGACCTTAAACACGGAGCACTTATACTTGTCTCTTCTCTTGTAAAAGTATCCGTGGCCATTCTACTCGATAAGAATAAAAATACGGAGATCGTATATACCTCGAGAACTTTTTAAAGACAGTCTATTCCATGTTCTATCTATTCTATTAAAAAGCAACAAAACAGAATAAACGCTGATCAACGCTTCCAAAAACGAAAAGAGAGCAAACCCCTATCACTTTTTTAAGAGTAACGATTCTTTTGCCCTTGCAATTTTTTCCTTTGTTATTGTCAAAGACCCGCTGTACTTTATCGATTAAGACGTACGGTTCTTTAAAACGTTACTAATTTGGATCTCAGAGCGGAATATTTCTGTGCAATACTCCTTTAGATTTCAGCCCCCATTTTTGCAAGATTCAAGCCACTTTAATTCACGTCACCTAAAATAAATTCCTTGTTGATTTGTTTTTTTGTCTTGTTTTTGTTCCATTGTTTTTGTTCCGTTTGTAAAAAGCCAAAATAATAGAAACCATTGTTCTCTGAGCTGTGTTGATCTTGTGTAGCAGTTGCTATGCGAACTGTTTCTCGAAGCCTTGCGTGTGTTGTGTTTTGCAGTTCAGTTGTTTTCGTGACACGACTTAATTACTAATTCTGAAAAGAAAATAGTTTGTGGCTGGTCGGACGTAACATTTCGTCACAGTCAAAAGACCTCATACTCAAACTTTTCTGTTTTATTTTTTCTCATAGTTTTGGACGTGTGAAATATCGGTTGGATTAAAAATATCTATGTTTCCTCCTAAAAAAGGTTTAGTTTGATATAGATAGATCATTATGAATCCAAAATCTCTTTGATTAAATATGCTTCACTGCTTCTTGAGTAAATTTTACTTCAGTTTTAGGAGCATTTTGGTCGTGTTAATGTTCCTAACATTGTTTTCTTTTGCGCGTTATAGCCGAAGGTCTAAGTACTTGTGGCCTATATTGCTTGATCTAGCCGGAAAGAGAGTGACGCAAATTACTTTATACTTCAAGTGCCAGTTAACATCAACGGTGAATCAGAGCGGAATAAATTGAAACTTAGCAACACAGACATTTGTTTGGTGTCACTGCTTTCAAGTTGCACCATTATGAGCTTCGTGAGAAAAAGATAGAGTAAACAATTATGGACTTAGGTGATCGAGATTTTTATCTTTAAACAAATTGCTGCCATCCGAACGTAAATCGACTGACAATGTCAGTCACAATATGCGATGTTACTATGTACAAACCTCAGATTATGGTCAGATCATTGATCTATTTGCACCATTTACGTACTCCATCGATATGATACTGCCTCGCAGACAGCCATTGCGTAATACAACGTTTGTTTCCTGGTGCAGGTATTCCAATAAAAGGCTAAAGAGACTTGCTTGGGAAAGCGGAGAAAGCGTCTGAACTGAGTCCGTTGCCTTACCTCGAGTTTACGATGTGTAACGCGATTGAGCAGCAAATTAAAAGTTGCAAGACAAAAGTTTGTAAGACTATGATAAGTTACCGTCAATGGAATTCTTTAGTTTACTTTTTAACAACTACTTTGAAGAGTTCGATGCCTTGCTTTCAGTCGAGCTTCATTTATTAACTCTAGAACTCTAGAACTTTCGACCAAAATTTGAAAACTTCTTCAGAAAGTTTTTGAGAGCTAAACGTTGCAAATAGAGCGCGTAGCAGGCGTCGTAACAGTGTCACTTCTTAATAATTTTATGGCTGTAATCACTCAGTTTCTAGACAACAATTGGAAGATTTCGAAATCTGTTTGTAAAACTGACGTTACTGGTTAATTCGCGAGAACGTTCACAAGTGGAACTTCGTCAATAAACTAAAAGTTGTCTGCTT